TTTTTCTTCAAAAATCAATTTTTTGATCGTTAATTTAGTATTTCAATTGTCATTTTGATTCATTCTTTCACATGTAGGACTCACTTTCTCTATAACGATGAAAAAATCAATTCTCAAAATCACTACCGAGAAGCCCTTGTTTGAGCTCCATTCTTCAAAAAAATTATTTATTTTTTTCAAAATTCATTTTCAACCATACATTTTTCAATAAAATAATATTATACGCAAACCAAAAAATTTCTCTTAACTTTTAATTACACATTCTTCATCAATCATCATTTAAAAATGCGATCTTTCCCTTAAGACATGGATCAAACAAGGGCTTAACATTTTAAAGTTATTTATTTACTTAACAGTTTGACTTTGAAGATTATATGTAAATTTTTAGATCAGTAAATCTATGCAAGTTCGTCTCAACTAACTTCGACCCTCTAAAATTCAACCACCACGAACTAGAATCAAGTTTCATTAATTCTAACCCTGTTTTGATCGGAATTTACAGTGCTGTAATTTGACACGTGTAGTGTACGAGGAGAGGATTTTCAGTCCCCAGGTCATCCCACAGGACGCGCAGAAATCAAGCAGCAATACGATGGAGTTTCACGTGCCGTGCCTGTGAGTCACGACACTGTGCAGACAGAGAGTGGGTTGGGACTTAAATGCACGCTTAGCTGCTGTTGACATTACCGTATAGCATCTCAATTAAGTCAAGAATTTTATACAAGATATGTATTGTAGCCCTAATAGCTATTTTTGATTGCTGATTTTACCCCCCCCGCCCGCGCCCCCCAACACACACTTGAGCTGAGCAGCTCATTCGTGGCTGCGGGCTGCCCCCAATCCCCACTCCACCCCTCCCTCTACTCTCGTTGAACATAAAAATTAACTTTTTCTCCTAAAACTGTATTCCTTAAACGGGTTTCTTGGCCTATTTGCCATTTTTTTTAGCTGGGAATGAGGTCAATCGAGCAAGTAGGAACGACAGGGATGGCTCAAAGATTCAATTTTTATCTTCCAACCGTGTTACTGCTTCTTCTTTGTTAGTACTTATAGCTTATTTGTGCAGTTTTTTGCTGATAGTAGTTATTTCTTGCGCCATATGTTACTTATAAAATGCTTGGCTTTCAAGAAACCAGCTGAGGCATTTAGCATTCTTTTTGGTGCTATGTGGGATTTGGTTAATAGGTTTTAAAAATTTGTAATCTTGTGCTTAGATTTCGATCGAAGATGTGTTAGGTTTGAATTTGGTCGGTTTATTGTGCTAATTTTTGCTGCATTTGGCTATTGAGTTTTTGATAATTTTATTTCTTATATATGATGTTCCGTGGTGGTTAATTCCTGCAGAAAATGTATTGTTGGCCTCTCTAATCCGCTAGACACTTGGAGTTATATTTAGTTGTTCATACAAGTACAAAGTGTCCATCGTGTTCTTCATAAATAAATTATGTTTTAGGGGAAAGTTTTTGGGAGGCACAGAGAGCTTGAGATCACGCTTGTGATTGTCTTCTTACTTCTTGCAAAGAACTTGAAAAGACGAGTGGATATAACTCTCACATTGAAGGGGAATCATTATAGATCCGTGTTATTGCTCTTGTAGTTGAGATTATGGCTTGATTTGTGACATTTTCTGTAAGGCATTGTCAGGATTTTAAGTTGAGATCATAGAATCTTGACGAATAGAGCCAGTGAAATATATCTTTGAAAATTGAATATAGCTCCATAATTTGCCAATCCATGAATTACAAGTTTAGATATGGGATGAAAAGTGAATTTTTGCTGAGAGTGAAATGACAGAGCTGAAAAAGAAAGCTTCAATGCCGGTAAAATAGAAATTAGGCTCGAGGCTACTTCACTCTCATTTTAACTCTGGAAGCTTCTGCATTTTATACCACATTGCTTGAATATCATTTCAGCTTGCATGATTCCAGTATTCACGAAAAGAGAAGAAAAACTCACCATTCAAAACTTCAATATTGGCATTTATCATTTAACATTGTACAGGCTTGCAGGAATCTTGTTGCACCTCGTTGAGTTTACTCAAAATTTCTGTGATTAAGGATAATACAAAAGATGTACTTTTGCCAAATACTTCCCCTACTTCAAGTCCTCAGCCCTTTCTTCCTGTTCTTGCACCTTCTCCATTGATACCATTCACGAATAGCACTGTCCCCAAGTTATCCGGTTTGTCTCACATTGTTGATTTGTTAAAATAATTTGAATTATGGAATTAGTTTACATATTGTACTCAATTTACTTGTCTTTCTGCAGGACTTTGTACCTTGAACTTTACTGTCATCACAAGCATGATGCGAGTGACATCTATTGATTGTATGGCTGCATTTGCACCATTTCTAGCTAATGTTGTGTGCTGCCCGCAATTGGAAGCCACACTAACAATTCTGATTGGTCAATCTAGTAAAGATACCGATTCACTTTCTCTAAATGGGACTCTTGCAAAACATTGCCTTTTGGATTTTGAGAAGATTCTGGTGGGTCAGGGGGCCAATGAGGATCTATTTAAGATATGCCCTATTCGTCCGTCAAACCTTACGGATGGTTCTTGTCCGATTAACGATGTTAGTGAGTTCGAGCGCACGGCGGATTCAGCTAACCTTCTTGCAGCCTGTGGGAAGATTGACACTTTGAATGAATGTTGTGAGCAAGTTTGTCAGAACTCAATAGTGGAAGCTTCTAGAAAGCTCGCTGAAAAGGCTTATAATCTCACGAGCCTGGATGGATCCCGCATGATGTCTGACCTTTCAACTAGGGTTAATGATTGCAAAAATATTGTCCTCAGGTGGCTTGCTAGTAAACTTGATCTTTCTCAAGCAAAAGAAGTTCTTCGAGGATTGTCTAGTTGCAAAATTAATAAAGGTACAATGTGAACACCGAAGTTCTCTTTGTGATTTATGAGTTTGTATATTGCACTATTTAGACTTGGGTGTGAGGAAGTATATATTTAAGTTCTCTTTTTCATCGTTTTGTTTATTTCCTTGATGAGATTGTAACTCCCGTGCTTCTCTGTTATTGCTGCTTCAGTTTGCCCTCTGAATTTCCCCAACATGAGCCATGTCATAAATGGCTGCAATGATGGAATAAGTAACCAGACAGAATGCTGCAACGGTGTGGAGAGCTATGTGTCTCTCCTGCAAAGGCAGAGCTTCATCACCAACTTGCAAGCTTTAAATTGTGCTGCCTCACTTGGAGTAAAATTACGGAAAGCAAACATTACCAAAAATGTTTATACCCTATGTCATATTAACCTCAAGGACTTCTCCCTTCAAGGTTAGTTGTCTGATTCCGCCAGTCTGAATATCTAGCATGTTTGGCTAAGCTTCAAAATAAGTGAAAATCATTTTTAAGTAACCTTATGCTTTCAAACATGTTTGGAAGTTACTTTTTTTGAAAATAATTCTTACCTCATTGTCAAATTAAGTAACTTACATATTTCAAATTTAATCACTAAAAGAAATTACTAATTTACTTATAAGTAAACTTTTTAAGCTCAGCCAAAAATGCTCGTCTTCCAAAAACAGAAAGTAATTTCAGATGATGCTAATATATGAAAGGATTTTCATTTTGTCTTGCTGATCTGATCTGGCAAATGACAATCATCGTTTGACTACACCAGTAGGTACACAAGGTAACTTTTCGACTTGTTCACTTTAGTAATTTCTCGCCTATATCTTCAAGTTGATATTTTTTTGTCAAAGCGCTTGATCTTTTGCCCCATAGGATTTTATGGGAGAATATAATTTTATTATCTGTTACTTCTCAGCAGCTGCTAAATTTTTATTTACAAACTGAAACTCATTGTGCTAGTTTTATGTAATGGAGTTATTTCTTCACAGCTAATGACAGTGCTGGATATAAATCACTCCGTTTTGGACTCGGAATTTGAAATTCGATGACATGAGATATTATAATGACATTGGGAAAGATTTGAACTTTTTGCTCCTAGAAGACTCGTAAAATTTTCAATTATAAATTTATGCCTTTCAATATTAAATGGTTTAAAATGTAATAGATTCTAATTTGACATCTAAGTTTGGTTAAACAAGTAAATCATTAGAAACCTCTTATCAGTTTAACCCTTGTTAACAGAACTACAACTGCTTTCTTGAATATCCTCATTGCTCAGTATAGTCTTGATGAAACAAACATGTTTGGCTATGCTTAAGAGTTACTTTTAAGTAACCATTTTTGACAAACATGTTTAATTTTTATTTTTATAGATTTTCAGTTCATAAACTTAACTCTTTTAGAAATAGGTCTACACTTAATTTCTACAACAGTGCCTTTGCATTTATTTATTATTATTTTTTTTTCACAGCCTAGCCAGACATGACATTGTTATTGGGGGTACAATTTCTTTAGAAAACAAAATATATTTCAAAGTTCAAAATTAGAAGCAGAAGTTGCCACTTTTATCATCAAATATTTTTTGAATCTTTCTTACCTAGCTTACATAGTCACTTGATTTAAAATAGAGAATCAAAATTTTGTTTTCTTCCAAAACTTTGTTCCTCATTTTTTTAAGTGTTTGATTCTCTCTATCTCACTTTCCCTTGTCCTCTGTTTTGAAAATAGACTCGGGATGCCTTTTGCCAAGCTTGCCATCAGATGTAGTATTAGATAAATCGTCAGAGGTTAGCTTCGTCTGTGATTTGAATGATAACATTCCAGCACCATGGCCTTCTACATCTCAATTAGCAGATTCGTCGTGCAACAAGAGTATCTTCTCTTGAATACTTCTTCACTTTTTCCCACTGTTCAAATTGTCCCCGTTTCAGTATAACTACTGACTTATATTCGAACTTTCTCTGACTGCAGCTGTCAAGATTCCCGGACTTCCGGCAGCAGCATCCGTACAAAGCAGTAAGTTCATTTTTCTGCCACCAGTAATTCTTAGATTGTACCATTTCTCTGTCAACCTTCTATCAATGTATAAAGGTAACATGTTAGTATTTCTTGCATACCAAATTCTATTAGGGGATAAAATCCCACATCGATTAAGGATAAAAACATAGATCAACTTATAAGGTTTTGGATTACTTCTCATAACAAGGTTGACCTTTTGAGATGAAATTCTAATTCTTAACATGATGTCAGAGCTCATTAAGCTCCAACAAGCGATTCGATCCGATTAAGACTTGATAAATCAATGTACGGATTTCAAGATTGGTAAGGTCTTGAGCGACTCCTCTTAACAAGGTTGTCCTTTTAAGATAGAACTCCAAATCTTAACAAATTCACAGTGTTTAAATCTATGAGGTGGTTTAACACGAAGTAAACAAAGTTTTGGGATCAAAGTTTCTTAAACTTTTAGATGAATTAAGAAGATTTGTTGATATATCTCACATCTATTCAAATTACAAATTCAGGATCAAGTCGAGTATCATTGTCACGCTTAATGTCATTCCCTCTCCCCTTATTTCTCAATGTTCGCCTTGTATATCAGCTCCTTTTCTGAGAATGTCCTTTCACAGTATAGTTTATGCTATTAACACTACTAATGGGAAACACAATGATCAAAATCATGTATATTTTATGGGTGCATAATTATTTTAAGAGGGTAATACTTGCAGCAATTGCAATTGACAACCACTATAATGGCTGAGAAAATACATTGAGAAATATTTTACTGTTCATTGATCATTCTGTTGAGCATGCATACCTGTTTAGTGTTTTTCTCGTTTGCATTATCATTTTTTTTAACATCTGAATTTTTGTATTTCAGGTCGACACAGTGTAAGCACAATGAATTTTCTTCTGCTTTCTATGGTCTATGCTGCTCTCGTGATCATGTAAATATCGATAGAGTTCGATCTTTGATTGAAGGTGATAACATATTTATTGCATTCGCGAATTTAGTTCAAGAAGTTGAAGGAAAATGTGCTAAGTTCTGCATGAGGATTCAGTTCCAAGAGATCAAAGGAAATTATTTAAAATTCCCGTTTAAATACAAGTCTTTACCTCAGTTAAAAAACGACTTGGAGGTGATTTGTAGTCAAATTTTCATTTATTTATTAGTTTAGAATTTTTGTGCAATAAAATTTTACTATAAGATTTGGAAACTCATGCAAGTATTCCAACTTGATGTTCTTGTATATTTATAGAGAGAAAATACAATATAATTTCTTCATTTTCAGATGATCTTGAAAATTGAAATACTGTACCAGCAATAACTAATGATATTGACCCATTCTTTTACCCAGTTTACATTTGTATTCACTAGAATTTTTCCCCCCCTGAAACTTCTTTATGCTTATTAAATTGCCACTGATAATTAATTACCCTCAAAATATGAAGTAATGAAAATGGTGGCTATACTGACGCCACATTTTCTAATAATTAGCATGTAACACATGCATTGCAGGCATTCTGCAACATTATTTGGAGTATGTTTTTTTTATTTACATATTTAAATAACTTAGTCCAATTAAATATTGTGATTTAAATATAATAATTTGATGTTTGAAAATACGGTGCAACATATTTTAAGTTTTATAAATTGTCAAAATAGCTACATCTTCACATTCAAATTCGAATAATAATATGCATATCAACACCTTAACAATTATAAATAACATGCTAATACACCATGAACATTAGTTCATTAAGACTAAATCATTAAGATTTTTAGATTGACAGAATGCTTACTTTTGTTGTTTATGCTATTTATTTCTATAGCAGCATACTGCATCAAACAAATGTGAATATATCTAAAAATTATGTAATTTGATTTTTGAAAAAATAAATTTACCGGAATAGAGGAAGTGAATGTTTGTAATTTTAATGACATTTATAAGCAGTAAAAATAAGTGACTTTAATGGCTATATTAACAAGTAGATGAACTCCAACCACCTTGAATATTTCCATCCCTAAGGCCCTGTTCTCTTTACCGTTTTCGGGCCGTTTTCTGTTTTCGGTTTTTCAAAACGGTGAAAACGTGTTCTCTTTCCCATTTTCGAAAATGAAAAAAAAATTTGTGATGAAAACACAAAATGACTTTTTTGTCGTTTTAGGCATTTTCAGTGTAAAATTTGAAAAAATTGAAAACGCAGGAAACACACCTTTTTTTTTCTTTTTTTTTTTTTTTTTTTTTTTTTTGGAAGAGGTGGTGTGGTGATTCTCAAAATTTCAAAAAAAATTAAAAATTAAATTTTTTATTTTTTATTTTTTTATTTTTGGTGTTTTGAGGTGGTGTTGTGGTGATTCTCAAAATTTCCAAAAAAAAAAATTCATTTTTTTTTGTTTTGAGAAAATAACAAAAAGAACGCATTTCAACAATTTCAAAACAAACACTCAAAACACAAAATTCAAAATGAATTCAAAACTCAAAACACAAAACTGAAACACAAAGAGAACACCCCCTAATTTGTTTGTCTGTTGTTAGAAAAATTAAAAATAAAATGCTATATTTCAACAGAATTTGTGGCAATTTGACGAGTGATGATTGCTATTAAAAAATTTAAAATATTTAGTTAGTGAATTTGTGACAATTTGACAATATTTATTTCTAGTAAAGCTTGTCTCAAGTTATAATAGTAGTTGTTACGCTAGACTTCAAAAATTTTTATGTGGGAGATACACGACAGACGAATTTGGGCCCACATTCCACATCATTCTACGTAGGTGACAATTTGGTTGAACCCCCGTGAAGAGGTCGAACCCATTTGTTGGAGTCGACCATATATGAAGAATCAAACCCTTATACAGGACGAGTCTGCAACAGATTTAGTAAAAGATCTTTTATACAATTCTTAGTGAATAATTGATGTGACAATTCACTACTACTATCGCCCCATTCGGCCAATCAAGTTAAGTTTGAGTCTTGTAACAGACTTTAACTTTTAGATAACAAAATGGTATTAATATTAAATGTTTATGATTCATTGATATTTATGACAAGGGACCTCGACCGCATAGATGAGACCACGTATACTTTCATCCTAGATTCAATATTCTTCATTTTCTACTATAAGAACTCACAGTATATCATTTCAAAGGTAATACAACTTTAGACACTCGAACTATAACCTTATTATCTTTACTAATACCATCTTTTCCCTAAGGTCGAACTCCTTCTTACATAGAAGGCTCACGTCTAAAGCACCTCTCACACTAAAATACTTATTACTTTAATTGACTTGATCGTCGGAGTGCTCACAGCTAACTCCACCACTACCAGAGAAAGTCCCGTATAGTTAACGATTTGTCATATTGTGTAGGAATCAAGTTTACGTGAACGTGAGAGATCTTGAAATTTATTAATCATGTTGGAGGTACAAAAATCGAGGTCAACAGTAGTGATGATGGATGGTATAATTCAAATGTAAATTTCATCACAAGATCCTCCATTATTTTTCATTTTGGAAATTTCTTCTTGTTCATAGTTATATATATTTTGTAAGGATTGTACTATATGTACACAATGATGCATACAAAACATTACACCCCCTCTCAAATGAAGGAAAGTTCACATACAGTAAAATATTCACGGACCTTCCCTCCATGTGAAGGGGTGTAATTTATTGTGTACACATTATGATGTACACTACACATAGAATAATCCATTTTGTAAACTAGAAATATAGCGAGACTATAATTATTCATACATTATAACTTATATTTCAAAAGTCACTCCAAGATTAAGCTACACAAAAGCTCGATAAAATTGTTTTAGGCCTCAGAAGAATCCAGAAGCTGATCCAGTGCTTTTCATCTTGCCACGTGTCTCAATATAGTGAAACCCCTCCACTGAAAGAGTGTTATTTCATAAACACGTTTTTAAGCCAATTTTGGTCGAACATGCATCGCACAACATAGATATACTTATTAAATTGCAATTCATAATTAATTACCCAATTTATTTAGAGGATTAAATAACTTGTTGCAATTGAAAACTGTGATTTAAGTATAGCAAGTTGGTGCTTGAAAATGCGATGCAATAAATTGTTAGTTGTATAAAATCATCAAAATAACGACATCTTGAGCTCTTTTAACAAATCTTTAACATATACGCACTATAAAATGTGTTCTGGCCGATTTTCATTAATATTAATAAGTTCTATTTCTAGTAATGATATTTTATTTATTTTACCTTTTCATCAATACATTCACCTTTTTGTTAATTAAAATAAAAAACTTCATTTCAACACAAATGCTTCTCCACACTTTCTCTAGTGTCAAAGTACATAAACATGGTAGATTTTTGCTACTTTTGCACATTATTCAGTGCTAATCACTTATTTCAGTGCTACTATTGCTTGTGTTATTGGCATATCAGCAGGTTAACGATTATTATTAATTACTAATACACCATAAACATAAGTTAATTAAAAGTAACTCATTAGGTTTTTTAAAGTAACAGAATGCGTGCCATTCGTGTTTATGCTATTTCTTTCTATTGAAGCACACTGCATACAACCTTGAATATTTCTTTAAAAAAAATAAAAAAAATTTATATATATATATATATATATATATATATATATAAATTTGCGAACTGAAACAAAAGATTTTCTTGAAATTTTAGAAAAGGTTTTGCTTCTTTTTTGAAGTATTCATATACTTGAAGAACGAGACTGGGTAAAATTTGCTCTTCAAGTCCATGATATTGAAACCATGTTTGAAACCAACTCGGGAAATGAGGGTTACAATTTTGATTAAAAATAATGAACCAAGAATGAGTAACAGGTCTAAAAAGAAGAACCTTGTACCAAGCATTCTGGTAATCAAAATAATTGAAAGTTTCTTGACAAGTAAAATCAGTTTTTGAGAGACGAAGTCTCTTTTCTTCCCAAGGATTCTGTCCCCAGTCTTCATAAGACAGAACTCTTGTAATTGAGATTTTTGAGAACATTATTTTTGATTTATCTCTTGGTTCAGGAATATGAGATATTATGGCAGAACCAGTCAAAAGAAGAATGGTTTCATAATAATCTCTAGTTTTTTGAATATTTGATGGCATGAACCAAAGATTTCGAGGAAGGATGCTATCAAGACAATCGTCAAGGCCTTGATATCTATTTAACTAAGAAGTTTCCATTATAAGAACAACATCAGAAATACTCTTGGTAAAATATTTGATAGAATTTGGAGGGTTGATTTGAGGAAGTTTGCCAGAACTTTGAACAGCTTTTTTGAAGTTTGAAGGTTTGAGGACTCATCTTTGAGTTTATTTTGATTTGGTTTTTTGACGAAAGTTGAAAGGGTATTTGAGGAAGATGAAGCTTCCTTTTGATCCTTTGGGGGATCATCGAAGAAAGGAATTGAATTTTTCTTTTTTCTTGAAGTTTTCGTTTGAAAAGGATTTTGAGAATCCTCTTCTTCTTCGACTTTTTTAGCCCAACTCATTCTCACTCGTTTGAATAAACTCTCTTGTGAGGAAATCTACCAAGAATTTTGATTTTCCTTGAATATATAGAATTTCAAAATCAAAACAGGACAAAATTGCCTGCCATCTTGGAAAGATCTGTTTGGAAACAAGATTTTTTACATCTTTTTGTAAAACATCTTTTGAAACTTTACAATCAGTTTTTAAAATAAATTTTTTATTGATCAAATCATCTTGAAATTTTGAAATACAGAGAACTATTGAAAGAATCTCCTTTTCGATAGTGGAATAATTCTTTTGAGGAACAGACCAGACTCCACTGTGAAATCTGACTAACTGTTCTTTTGACGATTCTAGGGGTAATTGTTTTAACACACCACCGAATCCTATGTTTGAAGCATCTGTTTCTACAATAATTGATACTGTAGGGTCAAGAATTGAAAGACAGGGAATATTTTTGATCAACTTTTTCACCTTTTGAACCGCATGCGTACACTCATGCCACCATAAGTCAGGATTATTTTGTAATCTTTTGAATAATGGGGCACAGATTTGACGAATATATTTGACAAAATCAGCCACATAATTGACACAACCTAAAAAGCGTTGCAAACTTTTTTTATCTTTAATTTCATCTGAAAATTTATCAGTGAAATCAAGACTTCTTTGAATTGGAATAATTGAAGAATTTTGAATAATATGACTAAGAAAACGGATTTTTGTTTGAAACAAAACAATCTTTTTAGCAGAGACTGCTAAACCATTTTTCTTGATTACATGAATAAATGTATGAGTATGCTTAAAATGTTGTTCAATGGTTTTTGAAAAGATGAGAACATCATCAATATAAACGATAATAAAATCTGAAAA